GTGTGTGTGTGTGTGTGTGTGTGTGTGTGTGTGTGTGTGTGTGTGTGTGTGTGTGTGTGTGTGTGTGTGTGTGTCTGTGTTTGAGAGTGTGTGTGTGTGTGTGTGTGTGTGTGTGTGTGTGTGTGTGTGTGTGTGTGTCTAAGCTCCATGAATCTGAACAGATGTATAATAAGTGTATATATGATAATAATATTAATAATGATGATAAAGCTGTACCTGTGATAATAAAGGTGAGTGTTACCTGGTCACGTGTCTGCTCACCTGCTTTAACACACTTTGAGTCAGTCTCCAGGTTTATTATTATCATAATTCTAATCTCTAAAACGTTTTAATTGAAGTTTAATGTGTAATATAAATGGTCACCTGGTCACGTGCTGCTGCTCACCTGCTGCTCATCAGCGCTGATGGAGGGCGCGCCTCTACATACACCCCCCGCGTGCTCCCTGCGGCCTGACAGCATGGCTTACTACGAGGAGCACGCGGACACCTACCTGCACGCGGACACCTACCTGCACCCCCCCAGGTACCGGAAGTACAAGAGCTTTCTCGCGCACTATGGAGACGCCGCGGACGCCTTCAACAACCAGCAGCGCGCGCAGCTGCGGGCCCTCCTCGCGCAGATCAACCCCTCTCTGGCCCCGCGCCTCCGGAGGTTCAACACGCGGGACGCGGCCGTGCAGGTGAACCCGCGCCGGGACGCCGCGGTACAGTGTGGGATCGGAACGCGCACCCTGGCACGCGCGGGGGACGCCGGGGTCGCCGGGGTGAGGTACCCGCGCACTCTCGCTGTTTACTCCCCCGTGGCCTTCAGGAGCGTCACGTGCTTCCTGGAGGAGGAGGTGGGGGAACCGGAGGAGAGAACCGGAGAACCTCGAAAGAAAACCAGAACCAAAGATCCAGAGGGAGGAAAGGAGGAGCACGAGGAGCAGCAGGAGGCGAAGGGCAAGGCGCGCGTGAAGTTCCAGGTGAGTGTCGTCAGGTGTGGGAAAAGACTCAAAAGTAGCGAAGGATGACCCACAAGTACCTAAACTTATTAAAAACAAAACGAAGTTATCGTCTTAAATCTGGTTTCAATAAAACACCTTTACCTGAACACAGCATGAGAATCCTCTGACAAAGGAATCTGCTTTGGGTTAATAACTGTGTGTGTGCGTGTGTGCGTGTGTGTGTGTGTGTCGCAGTTCCTGGAGCAGAAGTACGGGTACTACCACTGCAGAGAGTGTAACCTGCGGTGGGAGAGCGCCTATGTGTGGTGCGTTCAGGGAACCAGCAAGGTGAGGAAAACAGAACAATTTGTATGTAAAATGCAGTCAAACTGATTACATCTGAAGCCTGGGGAGATAGATTTAAATGTATCTGTTGATTACTTCCTAAAATCCTGGTTTGTTTTGTAAAAAGACCATCTCAGAGCAGTAGCGCATAGGCAGAAATGTACTTTAGGGTGGGCCTGTAAAAAATAGGGTGGGCCAGGTTTTTCTTCTGCGCATCAGAAGCTAACAACAATCCCCGCCGGTACCGGTGGCAGATTACTTTTAGAATACTTTTGGAATACTTTCTTTCCCCATAACAGATGGGTATTTTTTGGTGAACAGGAGACACGTATTTTACTGTTTTAATGGCTTATCAAGAACTCAAACAC